TTATCCCGGTAATTTGATGGTTGTATGTTCTAGCTAGCTAGGATTGTTAGTCGGCTAGCATGAGGGTCCGTATGTTCTAGTCAGCTACGGATGTTATCCGGGTAACCTTTAGGTCCGTAGGTTCTAATAAGCTAGGAAAATTATCCAGGTAGCCTGAGGGTTGTATGATCTAGCTAGCTCGGAACGTTATCCGGGTAGCCAGAGGGTTGTATGATCTAGCTGGCTAGGAAGTTTATCCGGGTAGCCTGAGGGTCCGTATGTTTTAGCTAGCTTGGGAGGTTTTTCGAGTAGCCTGATGGTTGTATGTTCTAGCTAGCTAGGAAGGTTATCCGGGTAACATGGGGGTTGTATGATCTAACTAGCTAGGAAAGTTATCCGGGTAGCCTGAGGGTCAGTATGTTCTAGTTCACTTGGAAGGTTATCTGGGTAGCTTGAGGGTTGTTTGTTCTTATTAGCTAAGAAGTGTATCCGTGTAATCTGAGGGTTGTATGATCTAGCCGGCTCGGAAGGTTAACCGGGTAGCCTGAGGGTTATATGATCTAGCTAGCTCGGAAGGTTATTCTGGTTACTTGAGGGTTGTATGATCTAGCTAGCACGGAAGGTTATCCGGTTAGCCCGAGGGTTGTATGATTTAGCTAGCTCGGAAGGTTATCCGGGTAGCCTGATGGTCCGTATGTTTTAGTTAGCTAGAGAGATTATTCGGGTAGCCTGATTGTCCGTATGTTCTAGTTAGCTAGGAAGGTTATCAGGGAAGCCTAGACCATATGTTCAAGTTAGCTAGAGAGATTATTCGGGTAGCCTGAAGGTTGTATGATCTAGTTAGCTAGGAAGATTATCCGGGTAGGCTGAGGGTCCGTAGGTTTTAACAAATTTGGAAAGTTATTCGGGAAGCCTGAGGGTTGTACGATTTAGCTAGCTAGCAAGGTTATATGGGTAACCTGAGGGTTGTATGATCTAGCTAGCTCGGAAGGTTATTCGGGAAACCTGATAGTTGTATGATCTTGTTAGCTAAGAAGGTTATCCGGGTAGCCTGAGGGTTGTATGTTCTGGTTAGCTCTGAAGGTTTTCCGGATAGCTTGAGGTTGAATGATCTAGCTAGCTAGGAAAGTTATCCGTGTAACCTGAGGGTTGTATGATCTAGCTAGCTAGGAAGTTATGCCCATTTTTGGGTTTAAAGCCTTGTCTTGGAACATGGGGTGCAACGTTTGCATTACACACTTTGATTACAAACAACACAGTTGAAGGCTTTGTTGTGTATCTGTTGATTGTAGTAAGTTTTTATTGTCTTACTCATGACTTTACGCTTAAATTATGGAGAAGTGGAATGAGGGGTAGGTTGCTTAATCTAAACAATCAGTTAACGAAAATGTTAAATCTTGTTCAAAATTCAGCGGGAAAATTTCCGCTATGTTCGATGTATACAAGGGGAAGCTTTATCGCCCATGCTGTTTTCTTTATTGATTCATGTCATGAGAAGCTTACTCATTAATTTTAATTGCCAGTGTTATCAATTACAACTATTAAATATATTTCTCATTATGTATGCTGATGATACAGTTTTGTTTTGGGAAGATGTTAACGATCTTCAAAATATAACAAATTGCTTGCATGTGAAGCTTAATGGTTAACACTGCAAAAAAACCAAAAAGCTAACGAATATGAAAATTTAAATTTAAAGAAAGGACCATGAAGGTCGTATATCAGTTTTGATATTTAGGAAAAATATTTAGTTAAAACGAAAGGTTTACGGTGGCTGAGAAAACTTAAGCATCTCAAGAAAGGAAAGCTTGATGAAAAGAATTTCGGATTGTATGCTTAATACTGAAACTAAGATATCACTATTTGACACGTATGTGACAAGTATACTAAATTATGGTTGTGAGGTGTGTGGTCATTATGCAGCATCAACATTGAAAATGTTATATCTATACTCTACAAATGTTTACACTATATATGTGTATGGATGGACAGTTGATACAAAAACTGGTCAAAGTCCCTGGCAATATTAATATTAATATAATACTATAATAAAAATAACAATAATGAGAGACTATACTCATGAATTCAAGTATTGATTTATTTATTTCTTTTATTAAATACATCAAAGTCCTTTGTCATGTCAGCATGTACGTACCCCTTCTCCCTCTTATTCAAGTTCTCTTTCTCTATGTTGATTCTATTCTTCCTTTAATTCTTCTATCACTCATTCTTTTCTTTCTTAAAAACAATAAATATCATAATTATATGCAGTTACACTATTAACTACATAAAACAAATTATGTATCTTCAATGTAGTGTTGAATTTTTGCTAATGACTAGAAATTGAATGAGTGTGTGGATGTGTATGGAAAAATGAATTGTAAATGTATTATGTACTGTTAAAAATTTAAAAAAAAAAAAGAAAAAAAAAAAGAAGGAAAATGTTGAGAAAACCGTTAATAAATCTGTATTTTGAAACTTGCAGATATTCAATTCATATACATCGTAAAATAACTATCATGAAATATTAGTAAAGTTGATAAAGACAAACAATTGCGTATTCAAATCTTGTTATGATGTTTTAAATGAGTTAAATATAAGTGTTAATCAAACTGAACTGATAAAGTTAAATATGATTAGTGTGAAATTGGTTTTAACAATAATTATCTTAAACGCTCAAAATGTACCAAATGAGACTTATGTAAACATCTTGTTGATAACTTTGAAATTCAACTTAACAAAGCCCCTACATTTTGGTATCAAACAATTACTGAATAAATATCGCATGCATGCTGTCCCAAGAGGTCAAAGAATATGTACTGTTTATAACAAAAAATGATAAAGAAGATGAGATGGATTTTATACTACTTTATCCGGAATAATCTGAATTCAGAAATATATATTTATAACAAAATTATTATCGACATCCAAGCGTTTATAAGCTAATTGAATTATCTCACGTAAAAGTGACAAAAGTTTAAGTTAACTAAATATTTATTGCATGCAACCGCCAAAGAAAAGCCCTTGTGTGACGTAACAAGGTCCTGTGGCATTCATGGTCCTATGATTATCAAATGATAATCAAATGATAATTTGATCGGGTTATATATCAACTATTTTTACTCATGTAAATATATAACTAGCTTTATTTCGTCCGCTACTGATACACGACTTCCTGCTGTATAAAACACCCGGGGCTATTCACCGACCCGGATATTAACTGTACAGAGTGTCAACTTGTCCTGTGGTACCATGTCTGTTTAAAAACAGTTCAGCAACATTATAACATGTCATTTTCTTGTGTAACCAAACTGGGCCCAGTTAGCTTAATCACTGTTTAACGACATTTTTCAACCTTTAATAATTTCGTCAATATTCAAGGTAAAACCTCACAATTTTGCATGTAAACTCACTGTAGTAAACATTTGATATCTAGAAAGTTGTAACTACATGTAATTCAATGAGTGTATTTAGAGTTACTCAAAAATTAAAATTTGCGCTAATCACTGATTAAGCTAATCACCTTTTAAACAACTGGGCCCTGAATGCTAATCTAAAGCTCACGTTTTAACTGCCTAAGGTATCATCACTATGTTTAGCATCAAATATATATCCTAATTACATATATGGTTCCGGTTATGTATGACTTGTGGTGATTAAGTATAACTTATCATGGGTTTAACACTCAGACTGACCAATGGTCTATAAGGAGGACGGGAGAGGTGGCGCTTTTTGAATATCTAAAATATTTCTCTTTCGAAGTTCGATGAAATAATACGTCATGTCATCTATACATTGTCTGTATAAACATTGTATGTAAAACCACATTTTAAAAAGAAACTGAAAACATCATTCAATTCGAAAATAAGGAAATAAGGTTAGTTACAGCAAATCAATCTCATAAAACAAACAAAAATGAATATTACTGAATGAGAATTAACAAAACAGGCTATATAAGAGAGGACTATTATCTCTTGGTCAACACCGGGTAGGCACTGTTCGCCGTACGCGTACTGATATAGCAGCTGTGTACGCGCTGTGACGACCCCGCGGCCATTACGTGTCGGACTATGACGGATGTGGTTCCTTCTTGGTCCTTCCCTAATCACATGACACCTCATCGCTCGTTTATTCCTGAAAAAAATGAGAGTGTATAATACAAAATTAAGAATAAGAAAATAATGCAATGTACAAATTGTAGTTACATATTTCGTTATCGTTCACTGTAATCATTGTTCTTTGAGGAAGGGTGTATTCATACATTCAATCTGGTAAAGTTTACATTATACTAGGTCTGCAGCGTTGAACTATATCTGTGCTGCTTTCCAAAGGTATTAAGCACTGTCTTGCGCAAATTCACAGCACACAGTTTTGTTATCAAAATCATGATTGTCTATGGTTCCTTTGAATAGAGCTACTACAAATTCCTCTACAGGCATTTGAGACAATAGCAGATACGGTTGAACACCATAGTAGTTTATTACTTTGTCCATGAATGTGTCCCTTAAAATGAATGTCACATTACAGTCCGTGACAAAATGCCTGATTACGTCATGGAAGGGTTCCCGCACTTGCTACATATTTTACTATGTTCTAATGGTGGGAAGGTTATCATTTTGCAAATATATAATATAACTTTCTTGTCCGTGTTTTGTAACTTTGACAAATTATACGGCTCACTATATTTTTAAAACGACTAAAATCACGATCATTTTTCATTCTTGCTTTCAGTAGTGTGTTTTCGCATATTTCCACTCGCGTCGTGCTGGAAAGTTTCCATCTTCAGCATATTGACATATATACGATGTTAATCAAATCAATCTCATAAAACAAAACAAAAATGAATATAATTTCATGAATATAAGAGAGGAATATTATCTCTTGGTAAACTTACAATATCGGGTAGGTACTGTTCGACGCAGCTTTGTACGCGCTGTGACGACCCCGCGGCCATTACGTGTCGGACTATGATAGATGTGGTTCCTACTCGATCCTTCCCTAACCACATGACTACTGTTTAACCCGGCACATGTATCCCGGCAGGTGAGCGACCAAGGTGAGAAAAGGATAATACCTTATTATAATTCTACTTCATATGGTTAAACTATTGAACTGTTTATTACCGTTAGTGTTCGAGAAAAGGATAATATTTATTTTATGGTTAAACTATTGAACTGTTTATTACCGTTAGTGATTGAGAAAAGGATAATATTTATAATAATTCTACGTCATATGGTTAAAATATTGAAATTTTATTACCGTTCGTGTTTGAGAAAAGGATAATATTTATAATAATTCTACGTCATATGGTTAAACTATTTAATTGTTTATTACCGTTAGTGTTTGAGAAAAGGGTAATATTTACAATAATTCTACGTCATATGGTTAAACTATTGAAATTTTATTACCGTTCGTGTTTGAGAAAAGGAAAATCTTTATAATAATTCTACGTCATATGGTTAAACTAATGAAATTTTATTACCGTTCGTGTTTGAGAAAAGGATAATATTTATAATAGTTCTACGTCATATGGTTAAACTATTGAACTGTTTATTACGGTTAGTGTTTGAGAAAAGGATAATATTTACAATAATTCTACGTCATATGGTTAAACTATTGAACTGTTTATTACGGTTAGTGTTTGAGAAAAGGATAATATTTACAATAATTTTACGTCATATGGTTAAACTATTGAATTGTTTATTACCGTAAGTGTTTGAGAAATGGATAATATTTATTATAACTCTACGTCATATGGTTAATCTATTGAACTGTTTATTACCGTTAGGGTTTCAGAAGAGGATGATATTTATAATAATTCTACGTCATATGGTTAAAATATTGAATTGTTTATTACCGTTAGTGTTTGAGAAAAGGATAATATTTACAATAATTTTACGTCATATGGTTAAACTATTGAATTGTTTATTACCGTAAGTGTTTGAGAAATGGATAATATTTATTATAACTCTACGTCATATGGTTAATCTATTGAACTGTTTATTACCGTTAGGGTTTCAGAAGAGGATGATATTTATAATAATTCTACGTCATATGGTTAAACTAATGAAATTTTATTACCGTTCGTGTTTGAGAAAAGGAAAATCTTTATAATAATTCTACGTCATATGGTTAAACTATTGAAATTTTATTACCGTTCGTGTTTGAGAAAAGGATAATATTTATAATAGTTCTACGTCATATGGTTAAACTATTGAACTGTTTATTACCGTTAGTGTTTCAGAAAAGGATGATATTTATAATAATTCTACGTCATATGGTTAAACTATTGAAATTTTATTACCGTTCGTGTTTGAGAAAAGGATAATATTTATAATAATTCTACGTCATATGGTTAAACTATTGAAATTTTATTACCGTTCGTGTTTGAGAAGAGGATAATATTTATAATAATTCTACATCATATGGTTAAACTATTGAAATTTTATTACCGTTCGTGTTTGAGAAAAGGAAAATCTTTATAATAATTCTACGTCATATGGTTAGACTATTGAACTGTTTATTACCGTTAGCGTTTGAGAAAAGGATAACATTTATAATAATTCTAGGTCATATGGTTAAACTAATGAAATTTTATTACCGTTCGTGTTTGAGAAGAGGATAATATTTATAATAATTCTACGTCATATGGTTAAACTATTGAACTGTTTATTACCGTTAGTGTTTGATTAAGATGTATGTGATATTTCACTAACGATAGTGCTATTACATATCGAATGAAGGAATAATTACGTTATGATAATTTGTGACTTAACCTGGTGTAGCAATACAGTGCGACTGTAAACCAAGTCACCTAGATCTTACCATTTTGTCAATCGTAACCTCAGTAAAATAGTAATGGTTTGCGGCAAACATAATATCTAATTCGTGAGGACGGCTTGTGTTTTGTAACTGTTGTCGAAATTTTATTTTGAGATAAAATCTATTTTACGATACTAGGCAATAACAATGTGTCTTATTGTTGTGAATAAATTATCAGAATAGATGAAGAGACACGTTCATTTGATTATATTTGGAACTCCACCCGAGGGTTATGAAGTGGGATAATACTCGAGACTTTTCCGAGGGATTCATAAACCCGAGGGTTAAGTTTCTCAGTCTTCAACATACATGTTTAAAAGATTCCTGTCGTAACGTTAATTAAAAAAGTAATGGTTTCAACGGCGGTGCCCATGCTCAGACGTGACGTCATCCGACTGTCGTGCATCACGATATCGTTTTCATTGCTCGGTAGATGACGTGTAAAGATAGATTAGAGTGGTTTACTACACAGGATATCTTACACACATGTAGGAGAGATTCTCACCAACAAGCCTCACGATTTGGATATCTTGTGACGCCCATAAAAAGCTCAGTACTCTGTGTTATCACATTAAATACAGTTGGCAGAAGGTGATCGGGCGATGTAAAAAATTGAAATGACATTACATTATAATAATCTGTCTACTATTTCTTATTTCTTTTAGTAACAATTATGGCGATCTCACGAACTCAGACAACTACTCTGCGTCATGAAAAAGGCGGTGACGTCATGGATGAAAATGATAAATTGGGATTAGACTCAGCTGAGACATTTGTCGGCAGGGATTATAAAATAAACGGCCACCCATGGCCATATAGAGCCAAAGGGATTATCCTTTTTACACTTCTTCACATAGGAGCAGTTATAGGCGTTTGTTGCCTCCATCAAATCAAACTTCTTACGTGGATATTTGGTAAGGACCTTTATTGAACATGCACATTGCAACTTTACCTCAATTTGAAGTGATGCAGTGGATTTTGAATAGCTGACGAATGTAAAGAGCGATAACAGGAAATGACTGTTATCGAGAGGAGAAGGCAATGTAATATGAAGCGTCAATTTTTTATTTTTGTATTTGTCTACAAGAACGGATGAAACGTTGTTTATAGACCCAAGATGGCTCTGGGACCATATTAAAGCTAATCATGGACCAAAGGACAGTGTGACATCTTTCAATATTAATTTTGTTCATGCCCCGGTCCATATTTAACGACACAATATCAGATCAAAAAGGACGTGTGTACAGAATTGGAGAAAGATAACTCCACTGATTTTTGTGATTCACTATTATGTTGAATCGTTTACGATCCTATTTCTCTGTATACATGATGACTCCCTTCTGTAATACTGAAGTGTTTGTGATTCTATTTCTCTTTTTTTCCCCACAGGATAGCTTCCTACCTATATATTGAAGAGTTAATTATTTCATTCGTCTGTGTAGAGAATGACTCTTTACTATTACGTTGAAGTGTTGATGATTCTGTTTCTCTTAGTACAGGATGGCTCTGTATCATAAGACTGAAAGTTTGAAAATTCTTTTTTTCTGACATGTAAACAAGATTGCTCTCTACTATTATGTTGAAGTGTTTATGATTTCATTTCTCTCCATTATTATGTTTAAGTGTTGATGATTCTATTTCTCTCTGTACATGATGGCTCCCTATTATAATGGTGAAGAGTTGAATAGTCTGTTTCTCTGTATACTGGTTTGCTCCTTACTGTTATTGTGAGGTGTTTAAGATTTCAACTCTCTGTCTACAGCACGCCTTCCTGTAAAAATGGTGAAGCGTTAAATAATTTATTTCACTGTGGACAAGATCGGTCCCTACTGTTAAAGTGTCACTGAGATGTTTTCTCTCCGTTAACAGGCTGTGTACTGCACGTGTTCTGTCAGATCAGTATCACGGCTGGTAACCATAGGCTGTGGGCCCATCGGACATACAAAGCCAAACTTCCACTCCGTATAGTCCTGATGATCGGCCAGACTACCACCGTACAGGTAAAATAACACCCCGTTGTCTCGAACCCAAGTCGGTCAACTACCAGGAATATCAGTAAAACAGCACCAAGTCATGGACTGGTACTGATACCCTGAGTAAGGGGCAGATAACTCAGATATTCCTGGAATAAAAACTGTTTGATTTAGTTGATAAACGTCATGTTACGTACAAAGCTCGTCACGAGTAGGATATATGCATAACACAGTATAACTGAGTCGATAGTGATGGTAAAACAACATTGTATCTCCTACGTAATGTTCGACTCCTTTACTCATAAATGAGGAATACACGACTTGAATTCCACAACTGCCATGCTTATTTTAAGTTTAACAAACATATATATACCTGTATACCTATATCTATATCTATATTAAGGAATTGAATAATGATTATGATATACAATATTTGATATAGCGCTCCATCTAGCTAGAATTGGCCACTTAAAAGCGCTTTACAGTACATATATATTCAATTTATACAATCTTAGTATAATTAGCATCTACATTAGTCAATACAATTTTATGTAAGAAAAAATATGCTTTCTAAAAAAGTTGAAGAACAATTTTGCTTTCCGATTTCAGCAATTCTTCTTTCAACTTGAAATAATTTCCCGATTTATACAATATGATGCCCCAATCAATTTCATTAATTAATTTCTTTAATCTCTCCTTCATAACACTCCCTGTCTCCCCTCCCTCTCTCACTCCTCCTTGTGTCCATTCCCATAAGTTTCCCTTCCCCAGCCTCTCTGTCTCCTCTCGCCTCACATCTCTCTCTTTATACCTAATCTTCCTCATATAAACTGTCACCTTTCCCAGCCTCCCTGTCTCCTCTCTCCTCACATCTCTTATAACTAGTCTTCCTTCCTGTAAACTCTCACCTTTTCCAGCCTCCCTGTCTCCTCTCTCCTCACATCTCTTTATACCTCGTCTTCCTTCCTGTAAAATCTCACCTTTTCCAGCCTCCCTGTCTCCTCTCTCCTCACATCTCTTTATACCTAGTCTTCCTTCCTGTAAACTCTCACCTTTCCCAGCCTCCCTGTCTCCTCTCTCCTCACATCTCTTTATACCTAGTCTTCCTTCCTGTAAACTCTCACCTTTCCCAGCCTCCCTGTCTCCTCTCTCCTCACATCTCTTTATACCTAGTCTTCCTTCCTGTAAACTCTCACCTTTCCCAGCCTCCCTGTCTCCTCTCTCCTCACATCTCTTTATACCCAGTCTTCCTTCCTGTAAACTCTTTATCGACCAAGAAAAGGTCACAAACGAATGAGAAACGGTCACTATCGTCAAAGAAATGGTCACTTTACACTAAGAAACAACCACTCTCGCCCTTGATTCAGTTAATATCGCCCGTAAGAGAACACGACCTTATACATTTAGCATGCTAGATTTGTTTTAATGGCGTACTTAATATTCATAATCTAATGTTGAACGGAATCTGTGTTGTATTTTACAGAACGACATTTTTAAATGGGCTCTTGATCATCGTGTCCACCACAAGTATACAGACACAGACGCTGACCCTCACAACGCCAAGCGCGGATTCTTCTTCTCACATATTGGCTGGCTTCTTCTTAACAAGCTTCCGGAGTTTAACGAGAAAAGTAAAAACATCGACGTATCCGACTTGCTGGCTGACCCGGTCGTCACATTCCAATTAAGGTAAATAACAGGAGTGTTTTTATACATTATTCCCGGCACAACGACAAAGGATATCGGAATATGTATTTCGTTTTAACGTAATATTTAAAATGGATAGAAAGTTGGCCAAGGAGCATTATATTTCTAAGTTTGGAAACATATAAGCAGAAGTTCAGAGTGCAGGGACATTTTTTATCAGAATATTTCATTTGTGATTTTTAAAGCAAAATGAAATGAAAAAACTGTTTTTGATGCATCCTAGTAAGGTGGAATTTCTGAACGTGAACCATCAGTTTACCATTAGTTTACCATCATCGTACCATCAGTTTACCGTCAGTTTACCGTCAGCGTTTCGTCAGTTTACCGTCAGTGTTCCGTCAGTGTACCGTCAGTCTACCGTCAGTGTACCGTCAGTGTACAATCAGTTTACTGTCAGCGTACCGTCAGTGTACTGTCACTGCACCGTCAATGTACCGTCAGTGAACCGTTAGTTTACCGTCAGTGTACCGTCAGTGTACAATCAGTTTACCGTCAGTGTACCGTCAGTTTACCGTCAGTGTACCGTCAGTGAACCGTCAGTTTACCGTCAGTGTACCGTCAGTGTACCGTCAGTGTACAATCAGTTTACCGTCAGTGTACCGTCAGTTTACCGTCAGTGTACCGTCAGTGTACAATCAGTTTACTGTCAGTGTACAATCAGTTTACTGTCAGCGTACCGTCAGTGAACCGTCAGTGAACCGTCAGTTTACCGTCAGTGTACCGTCAGTGTACAATCAGTTTACCGTCAGCGTACCGTCAGTTTACCGTAAGTGTACCGTCAGTGTACTGTCACTGTACCGTCAGTGTACTGTCGGTGTACAATCAGTTTACCGTCAGCTTACCGTCAGTGTACCGTCAGTTTACCGTCAGTATACCGTCAGTGTACTGTCACTGTACCGTCAGTGTACCGTCAGTGTACAATCAGTTTACCGTCAGTGTACCGTCAGTTTACAATCAGTTTAACGTCAGTGTACCGTCAGTTAAACGTCAGTTTATGCTGCTGTTTGTGTACCCAAAAACTTAGCCGTTGTCGTTAAATATTGATGCAGTATATAATATAGTGTATCGATTCCGGAGACATTTGTTTCGTTTGCATCAATAGATTTAATTCACGTTTGTCTCTATATCAAGATGATATTTACGGCTCGTGGCTCCATAAATAAATCGCGAAATGCGTCCTGTCGGGGTCACGTAGACTCTTGAACAAGTGTAAGTATACCCAGAAAGGGACGTTTCGATATTTTGTCTAGTATTAAGGAGATACACGATCAATATCAGCAGGAACCTACATAGAGTGTAAATATATTAGAATCAAAAGAGGTTCACATTCTAAACATTATTGATGTAATTGTCAACACTGTAAATCAGAATATGGCACTAATGTGTTATGAGGATTTGATCAACCATAGTCAGTTAAACGTTTTAACTTGATCACGCATTGTTTCAGGTACTACACCGCCCTCTGTACAATGTTTGGATTCGTGATGCCTGCTCTCGTCCCCTGGGGATTATGGGGTGAGGACTTTCTCGCCGCCTTTTTCACCGCCGGGATACTTCGCTGCGTAATAGGGCACCACACGACGTTTCTCGTGAACAGTGCTGCGCATGCCTGGGGAAACAAACCATACGACATCCGCATTGATCCCGGAGAAAACATCGCGGTTAGTGTGCTGACAACTGGAGAAGGTTTTCATAACTTCCACCATGTGTTTCCACAGGACTACCGCACGAGCGAACATGGGTGGAGATTTAACCTTTCTACAGCTTTCATAGATACGATGTCAGCCATTGGCCAGGTCACAGATAGGCGTTACGTATCAGATGACGTCATCAGGAGGAGGCAAAAACGAACCGGTAATTTGATGACTTCGTCGAAGTGACATTGATTGTGTGATAGTGCTGGCTGGAAACACTGAATGTGACGCGTAAACGTGTTTAGGTAGTGGCTGTTACAGTCTTTATTGTTAAGTATACGAACTGAGACCGCTCCAATAATACACACGCAGTGTCTGCATGTATACTAAGTTGTACGCATCTTCCAACAACCCAGGTGGAGTAGAAATGGTGTGGGTTGGATGTTGTGGTATCTGTGTTGTAGCATTCAAGTGAGGTGGCACTATAAATGATACCGTTAGAAGCACGGTCCCACTACAAACAGATCACAATACATCTCCAGCACACACGCAGGCATACACACATATGGAGATATTAGCCATGTGTCATAGGACTAGTAGTTAGCGCCTGATAAGGTAGCTCCTGCGAATTCCTCAATATTGTATTGATGAATGTATATGCTAATTGTATTAATTGTATATCTATGTACTGTTAAGCGCTTTAGAGTGGCTTATGTTAGCTAGATAGGGCGCTATATCAAATGTTGTATATCATTATTATTTATTATTACACAGCTTCTAAATATCAAACATGTATTAGGAAATATCACATATTATAACACTAGACACTGAATATCTTACCGATTGGTGTCTTTGACCAGGAACACATTGTATCAGACAGATAATTGAATTCGGTTTGCTGGAATATATGCCCTCTATAGACTTTTTACGTACTCAGAGAATATTAAAAGTGCAATCAAACCTCTCCAGGGACGGACGCAACTCTTGTTTTTGATTGTTTGAGACGACTTTTTGTCAGTTTAACTTTTTGTGTTAATCCGTAGACGAACAGCGTTCTCTGTATAAACACAGCAATCTAAAAGTTTTGAGAATTTAACTCTTCTTTAATATAAAATATATTTGATATGAAGATAATGACTTATTCAAATCTATAAATAGATCAGAGACCTTATCCACTTCAATACCGATGATTATTATATGATGATTGAAACAGCAATACTTTCCTGCTAAATAACATAGGAATAATGTCAAGTTAGGAAATATGTCGCAGCTTTTAAAATTGTATCGAAGTAATGATTGTCTCCTTAAGAATTGTTGTTTTTCTAAGATATTTTTTGGTACAAATGACATAAATTTGAGAATAAAATTATTTCATAAGAACGTTTCATTAAAAAAAATTGCACATTACGACATAAACGTGAATGTTTCAGCTGATTAGTCATACACAATTGACTTGGAGTGGCTTAAAGACAGAAGACCTGATAGGTTTTCTAGCCCACCATATATAAATGTATATATAGCGATAAATAGTTTTAAATGTCAATTTTTATATTTTTATTATAAAAGCAGAAAAATTATCCTTACGGATAACGTAATATATAATATTGCACGAAATTTATATATGGGAACGCTACATACAATTTGTCATGAGTTTAAAAGACAATTTTGAAAAATTCGTCGAATTTGAGTACAAAAATGTTGTTGGGTTTGCAAGCCCGTTACACCTGTAGGATGTATGTACACAAGTACATACGTATGAATTTCATAGAGTTCCAAACTTGACACGGAGGCTTTAATTGTCTTGACACTCTTCCTAGCTCTGCACTGCAGTTAACCATCTCGAAACATTCAAGAACTCCCCAATTACATTCCGTATCCTGCCACCATTAGCACTCATGCAACTAAACAGCCAATCAGAAAATTACGATTGTAATCCCTACCTAAACTTGGCAGGTCCTTAAATGACCATAGCTGTTAATAGGACGCAAAGCACAAACACACCAAACCGAACCCAACCCTTCCTAAGATTTGTTCCGGTTAAATACAGTGCCTCTGATTAGATTAAACATGCAACTGTTGACCGAATTGTTTTCATGATTGAACTCTACAGGTATTAAACTTTAGAAAAAATGTAGGGTTTAGTAGATTAAGAGATGACGGATTTCTAAAGGGCTAACAAGTTAGAGGGTGATCTCGGCCCGATTGATCGAAGAAATTGAACTGAAACTAAGTCAATTAAAACAGCACCTCAGCACAATAATATAACAGATGGTGCTATAACTATAACAGAAATAAAAGAAGGGTTAAACTACTACGGACTGGCAAATCAGTTGGCCCAGATTATATCAGCAATGAAATTATTAAATATTCTTTAAATGTAATGTTACCACTTTTAGCAAATTATTTTAACGCTATCATGAAAACGGGTTGCTACCCAAGTTCTTTGAATAAATCTTTTTTACTCCCTCTTTACAAGTCAGGAGAATCCGATTCGCCAACCAACTATCGAGGCATTTCCCTCCAAAGTTGCTTGGCGAAAGTATTTAACGGCATTTTAAATAGAAGACTTACTACTTTTATGCAACAAACAATCAGTCCAAACCAATTCGGATTTCGAAAAAATAGTAGAACAACTGATACTCTTTTTGTTCTAAAAACCTTACTGACTAAATATGAACAATCCAAAAATAAAGTGTATGCCTGTTTCGTTGATTTTAACAAAGCATTTGATAGTGTATGGAGAGACGGCTTAATGTATAAACTTGCTCAAAATAATGTGGGGAAAAACTTGTTTAATGTAATAAATGACATGTATACTAAAACCCAATCCTCGTTAAAATTTAAAAAATTTACCACTGAATATTTTGATATTATAAGGGGTGTTAAACAAGGCGATAGTTTAAGTCCTACCCTGTTTAACATGTACATAAACGACTTGTCAAATATACTAAGTAACAATCCGCTAAAATTGGGAGATATCATTGTCGGTAGCTTATCCTTTGCAGATGATTTACTGATTTTATCCCCTGAGGGTCTTCAGAAATCTCTAAATGACCTTGAAAAGTATTGCACTAAATGGCAGCTCTCAATTAATACTAATAAAACTAAAGCGATGCTTTTTCAATCTAGACGCGGTGTCCAAACAACTAGCAAGAAAGTAAAACAGTTTTTATTTAATAAAAAGGAAATTGAACAAGTTGCCGAATATAAATACTTAGGCACAACGCTTTGTAACAACGGTAAATTCACGTTAGCAGTTAAAGAACTTTGTGCAAAAAGTAAAAAAGTTCTATTTGCAATTAGGCAATATCTAAATAAAATAGCTGATATGCCAATTTGGCTATGGAAGAAGCTATATAATTCCTTAATAAGACCAATATTAACATACAACTCTGAAATATGGTATGCAGACCACTATCAAAAGATGGTAAATGCAAGCAAAAGAGCAGATTTAAACCATACATCAGATTCTTTAGACATATTTTCTCTACTTGATAAAACACCTATTGAACAAATCAACCTCAAATTCTGCAAAATGGCATTGGGAGTTGGAAAATATGCTGTTAATGTTGCATCGAGGGCAGAACTGGGTCAGTATACCATGGACTGTTTTGTGAATACTCAAGCATTGTGCTATTTGGCAAGGATTACACAAAATTATATAAATGTACTTGTAAAGGAGTCGTTAAAAGTAAATAAACAACTCCACGAAAATGGGATATATACATGGTTTATATATGTTTCCCAAATAAAAAAGAATAATAATTTTAACTATGACTTTCATCACGACCCATTCTTTGCAAAAAAGAAAAGGAAAATGAAACTTTTGTTTAAAAAGTCGATACATGCTAAATTTGAATATTACTTTTTTTAAAAGATGCATAGTTTGGACGAAAATAGTAAGATATTTCTATACAGTAAAATTATCGTTACCCAACTTTGAATATAGAAAATTGATGGCAAAGCTGAGACTAAGCAACCACAATTTAGAAGTTGAGGCTGGTAGATCTAAAAAGATTCCTCGACAATCCCGACTATGTAAATTCTGCAATACTGTAGAAGATGAAGTACATTTTATATTTAAATGCAAAATAAATTTAAATATCAGGACTACGTTTCTCCAAAAAAATAAAATTAACCCATCATTGCCTGATCTACAAAATTTAATATTATTATTGTCATTTAATGACCCACAGCTTTTGCAGGAAATAAGCCTCTTTATTAAAAAGTCATTTGAACTGAGGAAGGCAGGCTTGCAGAATGTATAAGTATGTAGTTTTTGCTGTCCATTATACAGTATCAATGTTTGTTTGATGTTTGCAGCTCGATCCTTGTAAATTGGATGTAAAATGCAATAAAGTTGATTGATTGATTGATCTTTTGATTTGTAAACATTCGGTTGTCAACAACTGAAGTCTTTGACATTCAACCTATTAAGATATTGTTGCATTGTTTATCATGTATGTATCTATGAATCTAGACAGTTGTTTTCTATTTTTATTAAAATATTCAACTGTTTTAACTATTGTCCAGATCCATTTTTACAAGAAAATGTCATAAAAGAAATATCCGTTATGACTTGAACATATATTGACATTGAGTCTGCTTACAAGTACTTGTCTTGTTCTTTTAATGTTTCTCTGACGAAAAACAATGCTTTGTTTTCCTAAACAATAAATCCACGAACTGAAAAAAGACTATCTATCTGTTCAGAATAATAATCTTTAAAAGATACATTGTGTATATGAGAGTCACATCGAGTTTTACCGTCATTATCCTAATACAACACTATATCGTCCAGTAGAAATACAACACTATATCGTCCAGTAGAAATATAACACTATATCGTCCAGTAGAAATACAACACTATATATATCGTCCAGTAGAAATACAACACTATATCGTCCAGTAGAAATACAACACCATATCGTCCAGTAGAAATACAGCACTATATCGTCCAGTAGAAATACAACAATATATCGTCCAGTAGAAATACAACGCTATATCGTCCAGTAGAAATACAACACTATATCGTCCAGTAGAAATACAACATTATATCGTCCAGTAGAAATACAACATTATATCGTCCAGTAGAAATACAACACTAGATCGTCCAGTAGAAATGTATGGATAACGTTGTTGATTACGGCAATCAGTGACGAGCGGTCTGTTAAAGTTGTTTGTGTGGTAAAATATACATGTAGATTTAAATATAATATAGCATTCAAATAGGGATTGAATGGATTTTTTTTCATATTCATTTCCGCAATGTACATGAAAAAAAAAAAAATTGTCCATTCATATAATTACGTTACGATGGAGTACAATAAAAAAAGTGAAAACACTTTTTTGAAAATGATAATTCATTTCGTACAGTTCTCAATCACTATAATGGTCTGATAAACACTGAAATGTTCAAATTCAACACTGAAATGTTCTGATAAATACTGAAATGTTCAAATTAAACACTGAACTGTTCTCATTAGCACTTAACTATTCTAATTAACTCAAACAACTACTTCGAATGAACATAAAACCGACAGAATGACCCAGTCACTTATTGACGCACAAAATCCTTCAAATGGCAAGGTTCTTGTATTGCCCTACCGGACCTCCGAGGTGGAGGGACAGGTGTCACTACAGGTTTTACGACTGTTGACGCGGAGACATTATCACTTGGCTTGGGAGCCATTTCCGCACGTGACATATCAGGTTCGCGTTTGCTAGTTTGCGTTTGAGTGTTACTTTTACGTGGAAGGCTGAGCCTTCGACACATTATTGTCCTTCCCTACTGCTACGTCAGTGGTCGCGTATCGCTGTGGTGATCTTTCCCGAATTCTGGCCACAACCTTTGTTGGACGGATGTGCATTCGGTTGCGTCTGTATATCGCACCGTTTTGGGCTTGTACCATGTAGGTACAGTCTCCATGAACCTCAAGAGCTTTGCCAAGGATCCATCTTTCCTGTTCCTTGTGTTGGAAATACACATTCTGTCCTTTCACAAGTCGTGGAAGATCACGAGCGTTTTTGTCATAATAGCGCGTGACACTTTTCTTTCTGTTTTCTCGCTTACGTTTGATAATGTCATTCTCAGGCACGCGATGTAGAGAGGGTAGTAATGTACGCATTCTCCTGCCGAAAAGCATCTCATTGGAACTAAGTCCTGTGTCCTGGCGAGGTATGTTTCACTGTTCCATTAATGCCTCATATTTGTCCTCCCTGTTGCGTTGACTTTTTAGCATCAGATGTTTCATGACCTTCACGGCTGATTCGGCCTTTCCATTTGCACGTTGATGTTGGGGAGATGATGTTACATGGTTAATCCCCATTTATTTGTGAAGTGTTGGAATTCCTTTGCAGTAAACTGTGGACCACCGTCAGATACAATGGGTACTGGGAATCCAAACCGAGCATATTGTGTCTTCGGTATGCTCACTACAGCACAAAAGGTAATCAACCTCTATATAGTTACTATAATAGTCAATAGTCACTAGGTAATGGCGTCCCTTGAATTCAAAAAGGTCCATGACTACTTTGCTCCAAAGCGGGTCACCATCATCATTTTGTTTCAGAAAGGGTTTTGTAGATTGAGGGGCCAATTCTTGACACGCCACACATGTTTCGAACATCTGTTTGATATCACTTTTCATTGCTGGCCAGAAAACAGTACCCCGTGCACTCCTCATTATGGCGTCATATCCACTATGAGACTTGTGTAGCCTATCCTTGATGTCAGATCTGAGGGCTTTGGGAATCATGATTGCTTCCCCTTTTACTACACAGCCATCTACTGTTCCAAGAGTGTCCCTCACATCAAAATAGAGTTTACAGGGGTTTGGCACCTCCTCTTTAGAGTCCGGCCATCCACCATTTATGGTGTCAACAAGTAGTTGTAGTTCCTGGTCGGCCAGGTTCGGCTTACGTATTTCCGCAATCCGGACGTCCGAAATGTCCTCGTGGACCGTAATGTCCATAAACCGCGGTCTACTGTCATCACTGAGGAATGCCTGTCCGAGAGTATCTTCAAGGACTAGGGATGTTCCCCTCAGGAAACAAAATTCTACGTCATATCTTTGTAGTTTCATCATAATGTCCTAGAGTCTCCGAGGAGCACTACTCAGAGGTTTCCGTAGTATGGACTCCAGAGGTTTGTGGTCGTACTCTATCACCACTTTGCGTCCATAGGAATACTGTTCGAAGCGTTCAACTCCATATGGAGTAGCAAGGGTCTCAATTTGTGCCTACTTCCTTTTAGAGGAAGTTAAAGATCTTGACGCGTACTCCACCGGCTTTCCGTCTTGTAGCGTGACCGCTCCAATCCCATCTTTGTTACTATCCACTTGTATAACAAGCTCCTTGTTGGGTTCGTAGTAGGCGAGGACCGGTGTGAGTGCATATTTCATAGTTTTGAAAAATTCCTCGTGTGAAACTGTACAGTTAAAATTCACATCTTTGTGCGTGGGCTGGCGCAGTGGTTCCAACATAGATGAGAGTGATGGTAAAATCTGGCCATATATTGGACCATGCCACAGAATCGTCGAACTCCTGCTACATCGGTGGGGATTTCCATTTTGAGAATGGCCTCAATCTTATTAGGGTCTGCCCTGACACCGTCAGTAGTTATGGCATGTCCATGAAACAGTATTTCCTTGAGACCAGTAGCCCTTTTCTCCTCGTTCAGGACAATGTTACGTTCATTACAACGTTGGTAGAGTATTTCCAGTTTTCGTGCGTTGTCCTGTAGAGCAGTTTCATCATCTGTTCCTTTCCCTGTGACAATGATATCATCAGCTATAGCAGTATATATCAGTCCCTCCAGTGCCTCATTTAGTTTTCTCTGAAAAATCTCACTAGACATCTTAAGTTCAAATGGAAGTCGCGCCCACCTGTACCGTCCAAAAGGTGTTATCATAGCAGTCTGTTCACTGGAAGACGAACATGCCAAAAAGCTTCGTTTACATCTAGTTTACTTAATATTCTGGCATTCGCAAGTTTAGGTAGGATGTCATCAAGGGTGGAGTAATTGAGGGTCAATACATATCCTCAGCTTCCCATAGCTCTTATGGGCCAGAGCCATTTGACTTACCCAGGGAGTTGGTTTGGTAATAGGTACTAAAAATTGTCTCTCAACCAGACTGTCTAGTTCAGCTTTCACCTGATCCTGAAGGGGGAGTCGAAACTTCCTACACGACAATGCTTTAGGTTGTACATCAGGGTCGAGTGTGAGAGTCACCTCCCCTAGGTCTCCTAGTCTTGTCACGGATGACTCTATACCTTTCCAATAAAGTTCACATTGTTCACAGTCACCAGACCTAATTCTTCTATTGTTTTCAGGCCAAGAATGTTTTGTAGTCGAATGGGAACAACCATACACTTAACTAGGTGTTCCTCCCCAGACTCCGTTTTCCTCACCATCAGTTCAGTTTCACCCAATGGTTTCAGGATACTTCCATTGAACATATGTAAAGTCAGTTTTGTTCCTCGACTTGCCCCTTTCACACATATTGCTTATTAATGGTATTGACGTCAACTCCACTATCGAGTTAAAATTTAATAGATTTGTCATTCACACTCATTAGTGCTGTTACCATCCTTTTGTCTTGTCGGCTGTGGTTATGGACAGTTTTCAGCCAATGATCACCACTGTCTTCAGAGTCGTAGGAGTTACAGTCTCCTCCTTCAGTACCAGTCACAGCACGAAGGTTTGTTTTCTTACATTTCTGTTTTCATCACATGGCTTCTGTCACAAAATTTACAGTCTTTTACATCTTCCTTGCACTTTGAAGTGTCCGTCTTATATTTTACATGTACCTGCTTAGAGTTGGTCTTCAGCTTATGGAGTTTAGAATCCTTAAAATAAGTAGGCTCTTTTATTTCGCTGACGTGCCTATTGGGTTGCTCGTATGACTGACGTATTTGTATGGCACGTTTTAGATTAAGGTCATCATCACGCAGTAACAGTTGATGAACTTTTCCTATCGCACTGAATACTATTTTGTCTATCATCATGCGATCCTCCTGTTCTCCGAAATTACATGATGCTGCTCTCGACCGGAGTTCAGTCATAAATTGACCAAATGGTTCAAAATATTGAACAGTCCAGAATTTGTGTGACTCTGCGACTTCATTTTGAGGGAATTGCAGTAGTTTATGATTTTATCAAAAACATCTGTAGGGTTGTTATTATCTTTCCCCTCATCCCATGTGAAATGATCATAAGCCTTGAGCAGGGCCTCACCACCACAGTTAATGATTGTAGCAGTCTGAATGCTATTAGCCATATTTCCGATTCCACTAGCCGTGAGATAGACTGTAACATGTCGTTTCCAAGTTTTGAAATTCTCTGGCACATATTTAATTCAAGGAGTAGGCGGAGATTTATGTTAACGTGTTGGACCACGTGTGTTGGAGCGGGGGAGCTTGACCTTCGTCACCATTCATGGTATTATAGAGATTGAAACCACGTCCGCTTATTAAAGATGACCCAGTTCTTATCGATCACAGGAAAAGTTGACACACGCTGTCACCATGTTGATAAGACGTTAGCTAGGTATACAGATAAAACATGTTTAATACTCAGAATGAAGGTACATACGGAATTATAGGATCAGATTTGGTTACACAATCTTACAGAATGGTGATAATTATACGGAACGAAATGACTACTACAAATAAGGTTCAAATCATCAACAACAACGTTATGAATATATTTTTTTAAAATTTCAGATTGTAAAAAATTAGTACTGCTGTTTTCTGCAAAAGACCTGTGTAAAATACATAAAAGATCTAAAAACATTTAACTTTAAAAAATCGTTTTTAGGTACTAATTCACTACTAAACTAACATGGCATAAAACTTACGTATGAAAACGCTACATATAATTTGGCACGACTTTTAAAGACACATTTAAAAACTTGTCAAAATTTTGTACACCCTCTGGCCACCCTACGCCCCCCCCCCCCCCCCCCCCCCCCCCCGGACACTCTTCGGACACTCTCCGATGTTTCTCCTATCACCCAATTAATAAGATCCCCCACGCTCTGTCCTCCTATATAACCATTATCTCCCCTTAATTTTAAAAGAGCACTCCTTCACATATTGTCAGATTGTGTGCAAGGGTGTATGTTTCTAGGTGATTTTTTAGTTAGTATTTTCTCGGTAAGAAATGAAGATTGTACACTCTGCAGCGTTGATACACTGGTTTTAATGTGTCGAGTTGAAGTCAGATAGAACGCCACAAACACGACCCTCAGCAGTCAACTTCAGTTAACGCCGGCTGATCTTACAAATTTATATATGTTAAACCCGAAGTGAGTCCCTTTTGGATTCTGCATTAAGATTGAAGGTAAAATAATTCAATTGCTGAGCGGATAAATCCACGACAATAGGTGTCACATACGACTGGATAGGTCACAAACGGCTGGATAGGTCACTCACGTATTTTTGTCACGTTACTTAAAATACTATAAGAACGACATGGAAACGGAAAGGCCAATATCCTTTTATTATAGCAATTATAACTTATGACTGTAAATCGTAAATGATGATGATGATGATGTTGATGTGTTTGTGTGATGATGATGATGTGTTTGTGTGATGATGATGATGATGATGATGATGATGATGTGTTTGTGTGATGATGATGATGATGATGATGTGTTTGTGTGATGATGATGATGATGTGTTTGTGTGATGATGGTGATGATGTGTTTGTGTGATGATGATGATGTGTTTGTGTGATGATGATGATGTGTTTGTGTGATGATGATGATGTGTTTGTGTGATGATGATGATGATGTTGATGTGTTTGTGTGATGATGATGATGTGTTTGTGTGATGATGATGATGATGTTGATGTGTTTGTGTGATGATGATGATGTGTTTGTGTGATGATGATGATGATGTTGATGTGTTTGTGTGATGATGATGATGTGTTTGTGTGATGATGATGATGATGTTGATGTGTTTGTGTGATGATGATGATGTGTTTGTGTGATGATGATGATGATGTTGATGTGTTTGTGTGATGATGATGATGTGTTTGTGTGATGATGATGATGATGTTGATGTGTTTGTGTGATGATGATGATGTGTTTGTGTGATGATGATGATGATGTTGATGTGTTTGTGTGATGATGATGATGTGTTTGTGTGATGATGATGATGATGTTGATGTGTTTGTGTGATGATGATGATGTGTTTGTGTGATGATGATGATGATGTTGATGTGTTTGTGTGATGATGATGATGTGTTTGTGTGATGATGATGATGATGTTGATGTGTTTGTGTGATGATGATGATGTGTTTGTGTGATGATGATGATGATGTTGATGTGTTTGTGTGATGATGATGATGTGTTTGTGTGATGATGATGATGATGTTGATGTGTTTGTGTGATGATGATGATGTGTTTGTGTGATGATGATGATGATGTTGATGTGTTTGTGTGATGATGATGATGTGTTTGTGTGATGATGATGATGATGTTGATGTGTTTGTGTGATGATGATGATGTGTTTGTGTGATGATGATGATGATGTTGATGTGTTTGTGTGATGATGATGATGTGTTTGTGTGATGATGATGATGATGTTGATGTGTTTGTGTGATGATGATGATGTGTTTGTGTGATGATGATGATGATGTTGATGTGTTTGTGTGATGATGATGATGTGTTTGTGTGATGATGATGATGTGTTTGTGTGATGATGATGATGTGTTTGTGTGATGATGATGATGTGTTTGTGTGATGATGATGATGTGTTTGTGTGATGATGATGATGTGTTTGTGTGATGATGATGATGTGTTTGTGTGATGATGATGATGTGTTTGTGTGATGATGATGATGTGTTTGTGTGATGATGATGATGTGTTTGTGTGATGATGATGATGTGTTTGTGTGATGATGATGATGTGTTTGTGTGATGATGATGATGTGTTTGTGTGATGATGATGATGTGTTTGTGTGATGATGATGATGTGTTTGTGTGATGATGATGATGTGTTTGTGTGATGATGATGATGTGTTTGTGTGATGATGATGATGTGTTTGTGTGATGATGATGATGTGTTTGTGTGATGATGATGATGATGATGATGTGTTTGTGTGATGATGATGATGTGTTTGTGTGATGATGATGATGTGTTTGTGTGATGATGATGATGTGTTTGTGTGATGATGATGATGTGTTTGTGTGATGATGATGATGTGTTTGTGTGATGATGATGATGTGTTTGTGTGATGATGATGATGTGTTTGTGTGATGATGATGATGTGTTTGTGTGATGATGATGATGTGTTTGTGTGATGATGATGATGTGTTTGTGTGATGATGATGATGATGTGTTTGTGTGGTGATGATGATGATGATGATGATGTGTTTGTGTGATGATGATGATGTGTTTGTGTGATGATGATGATGATGATGTGTTTGTGTGATGATGATGATGATGATGATGATGATGATGATGATGATGATGATGATGATGATGATGATGTGCTTGTGTGATTATGATGATGATGATGATGATGATGATGATGATGTGTTTGTGTGATTATTATTATTATTATTATTATGATAATGATGATGATGATTATGTGTTTGTGATGATGGTGATGATGATGTGTTTGTGTGATGATAATGTTTATGTGTTTGTGTGATGATGATGATGATGATGATGATGATGATGATGATGATGATGATGATGATGATGCTGATGTGTTTGTGTGATTATGATGATTATGATGATGGTGATGATGATGGTGATGATGATGGTGATGATGATGTGTTTGTGATGATGATGATGATGATGATGTGTTTGTGATGATGATGATGATGTGTTTGTGATGATGATGATGATGATGATGATGTGTTTGTGATGATGATGATGAATTGTTTGTATGATATTATGATGATGATGTGTTTGTATGATATTATGATTATGAAGTGTTTGTATGATATTATGATGATGAAGTGTTTGTATGATATGATGATGATGATGTGTTTGTATGATATTATGATTATGAAGTGTTTGTATGATATTATGATGATGAATTGTTTGTATGATATTATGATGATGATGTGTTTGTGATGATGATGATTACGATGATGTGTTTGTGATGATGATGATGAATTGTTTGTATGATATTATGATGATGAAGTGTTTGTATGATATTATGATGATGATGATGATGTGTTTATATGATATTATGATGATGAAGTGTTTGTATGATATTATGATGATGATGTGTTTGTATGATATTATGATGAT